TCTTTCTTGTTATCTCTATTTTCACTGGGGGAATTCCTGTTGTTTCTATTCTTATCATGATTGATCACGGGGGTCTCATTTAGCACGTGTCACGTACCTATTGATGGGCTTTTTCGGTGACCGAGTTAGGCAGAATTCTCCATTTCCACTCGTCTGTGGTGGAGAAGACTTTGAGGTCGACAGTCCGGTGAAACCCTTAGGACGAAGAGTTCTATAGCAATCTCGCTAACTTGGAGGAAAATACTTGAGTGAGCACAGTGGCAAAGCTTTGGGAAGTCAGTGCCTGTCGGCAGGTCTTGTTCACCCTACAAGGAATAAGGCTGCCTCTTTATTTAGGCCATGAGCTCAAAGGACAGTGTGAACCGATTCAGAAAGCCAACTGATTCATTAATGCGAATCTACTAAATGGAGTGTCATTCTCTGTTTTCAAATGAAGGGTACCACCCGGTAGTACAGTAGCAACACCAAGGAACGGTCAAGTGATAACCTACGATAATGCAAGTTGTGTGGGAAAGGTGGTGTTTCGCAATCGGCAACCCTGTGCCGGTTTGGGAAAGTTGTAAGGGAAAGAGGTAAGGTGCAAGGTTGCTTTAGTGCCACTTTCCTTCTTCCAGCGACTCTGTCTCCAGCCTCCGCCTTCAAGGGCCGCTTTACAGCCAACAGAGGTGGTACCGGACAAGTAGGAAGGATTGGAGGCTCACTGTCTCTTGTGCGGTCAGGGTTCACTGCAAGGACTCAGAATGCCAAAGGGAATAGCCTCGTCCCTACATGCAGTCCTTTGGTCTTTTATCCACACAAACGTTGTTTGAGGCTCTAGAGGGCCCTACTAAAAAATTTGCCGACGTCCCCTTTGGCTCACAGACTAGTCACTTGACAACTACTCTTCCATATTTCACCCCACTATCTGCGCTCTTTATTGCGGGCCGTGCCTTTAAGGCTCAAAATCCTTGAGATGCGATAACGATGGCAGCAACCCGAATCGAACGAGGCGGCGGCTAAGCTTTTCGTGAGATCTTTTCATTTTGAGGCCATTGTATGTATTTGTCCAGCAGAGAACAAGATTACAGCTATCCAAAAATGAAATATCCCCCGAGTAGTCCATCACATGTTCAAATGCCACGCCTCCTTCGTCTCAGGTATAAGGAGTATACACTGAAGCGTATAAATGCTGAGCAGAATGCATACCAAAAGCACGATTATTGATCCATGTGCACGGCTTCATGCTGGTGTGACGGTAGTCGTTGTCGTAATGGATTTATTGAGGCGGGGTGGCCTCGGTGATAGTGGTGGGTCCGAGACGGGGTGGTCTCGGACCGTCAGGTAGTAGAATGCTGACTTAATCTAGGCGTGCCTCTCAATACAGGAGAGGTCACGCATCGAGTATCTAACCATTTACCTACGGGTCATCGAGTATCTAACCATTAACCTA